CGCAAGGGGGGGGGGGGTGAGCAGCGTGTGGGTAGGTGCTGCATGCCGGTCGGCATGGCATGGCATCTCGACGATACCAACATGGACGGGCATCGCAACACTCTCGTGTTCCACGTTTGGTGTATCTGGAAATACCAACTCGCTAGATGCCTGGATGCATCGAGTAAACCCGGTATCCCCCGCCCCAATGCCCTCAAAACTTGGGCATGCACATCGCACTCACCCCCATGAGCCAGGAGCCGATCGTAACGTCCTCGTTGGTGAAGCACTCCAAGTGCTCGTGGCCCCGGTAGAGGTGCTCTACAAGAGGTTGGGCCAGGATATAAAAAGCTCCCTTTGAATCGACGTTGGGGGCAGGCGGGAATCAACGGAGCGGCGGCAAGCTCCAGCGTGAGGAACGGAGAGTAACGGTTCCTCTACGAAGGGGCGAACAACCGCTTCTGGGAGGCAAGCCCAAGGTGGGAGCACGCACCAGGCAGAACAACAATGATCTCGAGGAATGCAAGTATCAATACACGGTTTCCGTGTGATGAAATTTTGAAAGTTGACGACTCGATGCAAAGGGCATGGCACACGCGTTGAGCCCGGGCTAGCGTGTTCCGTGGGACAAGGGGAGACTTTGCGATGAAAAGAATGAGGCAAGAGCAAACAACCGTGGCGACGCGGGAGAACGTTCCCGGCATGGACGGACAGCAAGACTCCTAACCAACCAACAGAGAAACAGAAAAAAGATGGGGGGGTGGGTGAAAGAGAGAGAGGGAGAGAAGGGGGAGGGGGGTGTGCACACAACAAGTAGGACGTGGGAAACGGCAGAAGATATCAGATGGAGGTGTAGCGTGAAACAACTTTTGACGTTGCCGGGTGCACCCTCGTTAATTCGATCCTTCCCCGCCTACACGTTTGTTAGTTTCACTACATGTTTCACTACAGAGAAGGCCGCCGGTTCATTGGCAACATCTGTGTTGAGCAGAGGATGCTGAGCCAAGACACACAAGACGCACAAACACAAGCAAACACAACCCCTTTCCGCACGGTCTGCCCCCCCCCGACGACACCCACATGGGGGTCCCCGCGGAAGAAAACATTATTTCTCGTTTGACCGCGTGTCCTTTTAGACTTGCGGGTGTTTTCTGTTTCCAATAATGATTTGTTAGCGGGGTCGATGCTCTCAAAAGAAACAAGACGCACGCGAGCAGTAACACGCCGCACAACGAGCAACACCCCCTCGCACGAACGCACGCTTGCATGCAAGCCAAGCGCGCTCACGCGCATAAACCCCACCTGCATGTACGCAGGGAAGCAATCGAGGCCGCCCAGGGTGTGCTGCACGTACTTGCTGTCGAACCACCGGTGGTCGGGGTTCTTCATAACCCTTCCGTTCTGACCAAGTAGTTCCGTTTCGTGTCAGAATCGTTCGTGTCGTTTGGGAGGTTGTGCCGCAGTATCGGCAAGAGAGGAACGGAACCATTGGATGGCGTCAGCGCCGGTAGGTACGAGGCACGCGCGCGCATACAGGGGCAAGGAACGGACGACGCGAGAAAAAAGTCAGTCTACCGGAATATTCAAGAAGGTGAACGCGCGAACATGCTTCAAGAGGAAATGGGTTGAAATTTCAACATACTGTAGGGGGTTTGCACGAACAGCAGACGTCGACGTCACGTCCGCTGCCTGTCTCACTTGAAAAGCAGCGTGCCGCAACAGATACAACATCTTCCGAAACAAACGAAAAAATTACAAGTATATAATATCGCATGTACACTCTGGACGAGTTGTTCACGGAGGACAGCATGGTAGAGATCGCTCAATAATTTCTGTGAGCGTCCGCTTCGCTCGTGGCGCACGGTAGTAGGGTAGGGTGACGTCGAAGGCGTGTCGCCCTGGACAGCGACAAGGAATCCACCGGCCATTACATGTGTCACCTTTCAGCTCGGAGCGACCAAACCCTCACCCTGTTAGCTTTGCCGATTAGAGTCTCCACACACACAAACACACACATCCCACAGGGCACGATAATGAGGTCGCACATACATACGCCACGGCGTTGGCACGAAGCATGGTACGAAATATTCTCACCACCGGAAAGGCTACGAGAAAGGACAAATCAAGAGGCGAAAATCGATCGACCACCCAAAGTCCGTACACGGTTCAACGAATCAAAAAAATTGATGACAGCGTTCTTGTTCATACATGAAGGACGTATATGGCCGTTTCCTCCTCACCCAGTAGTCCGGATTGGTGCTCTGGTTGCACGCCGTGGGCACGCCGGCGTAGACCTTGCCGCTGATCTCCGGGTCTAGGTCGTGCAGCATGGAGGCGATGCGCGTCAGGCACACAAACGAGTCGTCGTCGGCCTTGAGCAGGAACTCGAAGTCGAAGTGCCGCACCTGCCGTTTTTTTTTTTTTTTTTCGAAATGGAGAAGAACGTGTNTGGCCGTTTCCTCCTCACCCAGTAGTCCGGATTGGTGCTCTGGTTGCACGCCGTGGGCACGCCGGCGTAGACCTTGCCGCTGATCTCCGGGTCTAGGTCGTGCAGCATGGAGGCGATGCGCGTCAGGCACACAAACGAGTCGTCGTCGGCCTTGAGCAGGAACTCGAAGTCGAAGTGCCGCCCCTGCCGTTTTTTTTTTTTATTTGCGAAATGGAGAAGAACGTGTGCGTGCGCATTACGGTTCTGCGTGCCGAGACGACGCCGTGCTCGGTTGGTTGCACGAGTGATGATGCATCCCGCGGGGCAACAACGGTACTGCCGTACGCCGTCAGCAACACGAAAGTCCCAACACCGCCGCCACCCGACTTGAATAGCAGCGGACGCGCCACAGGCTTGATTGCTGCTTACGCTTCTGAGGCCCTCTCGCGATGCCCTACCGATCCGCGGTAGGGTCAGAACTGCCTTTAGGACAGCGAGCGCCAAAAGGACGCCCCAGCAAAACCCAAGCACAGTGACACAAGAGCAAATGCCCCAGCACCAAAGTGCGAAGGCGGTGCCCGCACACGACTCAGCACCCCCAACGGGGTACCCCACGCCGCCCCAAAACGACCACACCAGGCGACTTACCAGGCACAGCATGGCCTTGGTCTTGAGCACGATGTTCCGGTACCCCTCCGGCACCGCCACGTAGAGGATATCCCCGACCAGCTCCCCCTCGGGAGGCGCGGTTTCCTTCGACATGACGAACACCACCGACACCGTGAACTCTCTCGGCTCAGGATTCGTGCCCTCCTGTCATGTGTGTGTGTGGAAGCAAGTGTTTTGGTTGTTCGGCAGCGAGAGGCGGTAAGGGGGGTATGCGACAAACACGATCGCCGTAACGATTACTTCGGATTACCGCTAATGAACCTCCCGGCAGACCATGAGATACACATCGGCGGGGGGCGCGGATACCTTACGCACGTGTGGAACATTGGGCAGATTGATGAGCACCTTGCTTTCTTTCTGCCGAAGCGACGTGTCCGGAGTGTGTTTCGTGCGTGAAAGGCGGACATTTCCATTCGGAAGCTGGACACGAGTGTCACCCGCTCTCTGCAAACGACTTTCAAGTCTCGGAGACACGTGCACCACGGTGGTGCCTGTTCCTTGGAGCCGCGCCCAATCAGTTTTGTAGAAAAACCGGGTGCCCCGGCGGCGGGAACACCGGGCTCGAAGGCACCACCACCTCGTCCCAAACCACGTCCATAAAGCAAAACAGACAGCGTCAGCATGCACCCCGAGTGATATCCCGAACAACGGTCGACTTGGCTTTCATCTGCAGTTGTCGCTGCAACACCGATCGTGTACTACGGCAATAGAAATATGCTCCGTTGCCCGTTTGTATCCCCTCGTCCCCATCCCCAAACTGGTGTCAAAGCAAGAGGGTGACCGACTCACCGTGAGAGAGTTGGGCCCTCCCACCTTCACCCACCCTTCGTACTTGTCGTAAATTTGTCGCAGCAGCTCTCGCTTCGCGGCATCCGCCTGAGAGGCGGCGGGAAAACAAGAGGCAAAAGACATCCGGGGAAAGGACAAATGCGAAGGGGTGGAGAGGAGAAGGCGAGGGCTCCACATCACCATGCGATGGAATTATATCGGGCGAAGTATCAAACGTTCTCTTAATGTATCTACTGCTGTACGTGATTCGATATCCACGCTAGACACAAGTGTCTGAGAGTGGCGTGACATGAAGCGCTTGCAGAGATGGTCGTCTGGACATCCTGGAACCCGGGTGCCATACGTACCGCCCAGGGTACTGCATGCACCGTAAAATGCGTGTTTTGTTTGGCACGGATCAGCGTCTCCGCATGGGTCGGGGTCTTGGGCTCAAGGGTGCAGTTTTAAAGAACGGGTTTCAAAGTGATTTGATCGATTACCCCAAGAGGCGAAGAGATGGCACACCCCCTTTATATAGACCGATATAAGGATCCACAACGCTTGTGGCAACACCAAAATTGGTGGTTTTGGAAACATCTCGTCAAGGGATTTTCCTAGAACTACTTGTTGCTCTGTTCGTAGAACTATCTGACTCTTTTAACAATCCCTTGGTCGTGGAGCGATCGAGCTTTGAAAGCTGGTCTAGGGAGGGTGCCATCTCCCCGCCTCCTACGGAATACCACGGTACGGCATACGGTACGGTACAGACAATCTTGGTTGTGGAGCAATCGAGCTTTGAAAGCCGGTCTAGGGAGAGTGCCATCTCCCCGCCTCCTACGGAATACCACGGTACGGCATACGGTACGGTACAGACAATCTTGGTTGTGGAGCAATCGAGCTTTGAAAGCCGGTCTAGGGAGAGTGCCATCTCCCCGCCTCCTTACAGTAACGCACCGGAACATGTATCGTACCCTTTGCGCCGGGGTCCGAAGACCCCGATACCTCCGGTGAGGTTGGGCGATCGATACCACTAATAGAGGTGTTGTATCATGGCACCGTGGCGGTGCTCATATGCGAGCGGAGTCCGTTCGTTCAATACGTTGCGACTATCGTCGACTTCGGCAAACAGTACCCACTTCAACCAAGAACGCGAAACACATACACGATACCAAACGACGACCTACATACAACCAACTAACACGTGCATACTCTGCCAAGGAAGGCTGCCAGGAAAAATTGTACATCCCCCGTAGGCCACGTTGTCGTTCTTCGTTTATTGCCCAGAACCAACCCCCTCCTCTACCGGCTTTGTATACACGTGTGCAGCCGGTGTTCGTGTTCTTTGTGCCGTGGTCCGGTTGCTGTGCTAAAATAAAATACTGCTGTACACAGAAAGCGCTCGTGTGTCCGCTGTGCATTGCTGAGGATTGCACATATTGGAGTGTTGGTGTGGGGGGTGTGCGTTCAAAACATCCCCGGATCGCCGCCTTGAATTCATTCAGAATCGAGCGGGTGGGAGTCATCGCAACGGATGTGCCTTGTAGCCAAATGAAGCAATTCAATTTCCCCACAAATACAGGGTGCTTGGCACGGATTGGCGTCCAGGCAACCATTTAGAAAACACTAAAATGAAATCATCATAATTTTGAAAGACGACCGCACAGCAGTGTGGCTAGACCCGCAACCGTAAGGTGTGAATGCATCTCAACCACCCAACGCGTGGTCATTGGTTGAAATCTCGAGGACGCTTCAGTAGCATCACAAAATAGCCTGCACAGCAGCAGCTGGAGAAAGCATGCACTCACAGAGACTGTCCTGTTTTCCCTCACTACCACCTCCCGCCGGAACATGAGATTCGCAACTCCTTCCATACCTCCGTTGTGCCCGAGAAGATCGTAAGCAAAAGGTCGACCTTTGGCCTTGTCTTCGCCGTGCCTACCGGTTCCAGCTCCCCCAGGACTACGCTGTTTACTCGCCCGTCCCACTCCGTCCCTCTTCTGCCGCTCCTCCGCCCCAGCCCCAGCGATCCCGCCGCCTCGTCCTCTCCGCCCTCCGTCGAATCAATTTCCGCCGCATCGCCGCCGCGGCCGTCGTCTTCCGAGGAGGCGTCGCCGCCGCCGCCGCTGCCGCCCTCGAACCCCCACTCGGCGGTCGCGATCTCGATATCCCGCACCATCCAGGGATCCGCCTGCGACGGCCCCACGGCAAACTCTCCCGGTATTCGCCGGTAGTACGGCCGGCTCGCGTCGGCGGCGCCCTTGTCTTCGCCCCTGCCGCCGCCGTTAGCGTTGTCGTCGCCCTTGTTGTTGGCGCCGGCAGCTTTCCCTCCGGTCGCCGGCCCGGCAACGGCGACGATCACTGCGAACCAGATCGCCGCGGCGAGGAGGACGGCGCCGGCGGTGGCCAGCCGCCGGCCCCAGGGATGATGTCGGGCACGCCTCGAGAGGCCGCCGATCTCCAAGCGGGCGCCGAGGAGGCTCGCCGCCAGCGCCCTCCGCCGCCGCCAGAAGGCCCAGAGCAACCGCTGTGTTCTCAGGAGTCGGCGGCGGCCATCGCTAGCGCCCCCAGGGGCAACGGAGGAGCTATTACTGCTAGCTGTTCCGCCGCCGCCGCTGCTGGCGCTGCGGACGCGGTAGTGTCGGCTCCCGCGAGAGGCGTCCGCAGGGGCAGTCGGAGATGAGGTTAGCGGCCTGGCTCCTCCGCTTCCTCCTGATCTCTTCTGGGCTCCTCCAGACGGTAACAGAGGTGCTTTTAAGGCCGTCTCTCGAGCAGCAGCGGCCGAGCTGCTGCCGCGCCGCTTGTGCCGCCTTGGCGGAAGAGATCCTGCTGGCGTCGTCGCCGAGTAGGAGGAAGGCAGGAGGGGGATCGATAGAGCTTCCTCTCCTGCTTCTGATGCTGTCGGTGCCGCCGCTGTTGCACCTGCTGCAGCAGCATCACTGCTATCTCGGAGATGAATCGCAGATGTTCTTCGGTTCGGGTCCATAACCAAGCGGCAATCCGGCAGCGGCAACAGCAGTAGCAGCAGTAATGGCAGAGCTCGTTGTTGCTGTGAGAAGCAACACCTACAGCACACACACACCCTCCAAACGAGACTTTACACGCTTTCGCGCTCGTCCGCTGGCTGCTTGCTTCCAGACTGCTCACTGCTGTTGCAAATTTCCAACGTCTCCAGGCAGCGAAGTGAGAGTGTCCAGTGATACCCTACAGGTCTCCCCCGTTTCGACCTGCAGCCAGGGAAATACGCCGCAAAAGGGGCTCCGCACTATCAACATTTTTTTTTGTAATCATGACTTTTTTTTTTTGTGTATGTCGGACCTTTCACGGCCTGCCTGCCTCGCAACGCGTTGTATTACATTGAGCGTCTTTGCTGTCCACCTGCGCTTGCACCACGCCGACCCGTGGAGATGGTGGGAACAGAGAGAGCTGCACTACTCCAGGTCTGTAAAGCTGCAAGGAAATCAGTGCAGACACGTGCCTGAAGGAGACAGCTGTAGTTAGTTTTAGTCGGAAAGTCTCGACTGATCCGCTGTTATTCAAATTTGCCGGGTGGGTGCGAAAAACTGCAAATCCGAAGGGCGGGGCCTGGTATTCGCGCCCAGCTGGTATGGTAGACTTCACCGCAAGAAGCAGGGGCAGCAGCAGTAGAAGCATAGCGTTGTACCTTCCTAAGATTCGTTGGACCCTTGGAAGCGCGAGAGCGGGCGCCGTCGTCGTCGTCATCATTTTCGTTGTTTGGGTCTGGGTTGCCGCACACCAAGTGAAACTAGGCGGAGCATGGTGTCGCGTGAGACACCAGCACCACCACAGGCAGCACCTCTGGCGGCGAGCACCATGGAGGAGATGGAGCCAGCAAGACCTCCCAGCAAATTAATCAGCTGCAACACACGGATACAGACGGAAAGCGCACCGGCAGGAACAGCTGCAACAGAAACAGCAGCAGCAGCGGCGGCGGCGGTTCATGATCATGATCCTTCACGAGAGGATTCAGCACCAGCGAACAAGATTCGGGAGGACGCTTTGACAACTTCAAACGGCCCTCCACAGCCGCTCCCGGCTTGGCACGACGGCGTCGATGGGCCGCTTCCCGCGTGGACAATTTGCAGCAGCAGCAGCATCAGCAATCAAATGCCCTCCTCTAGTTGTGCCAGTTGCATCGCCCCTGTCACTATGGAGCCGTCGTCCGTGCCGGCTACGAACAACCAGGCAACGGAACCGGCAACAACGCCCCCGCTGCTCCTCGGCAGCGCGCGCAGCGGACCCCCACCGCCGCCACCATCGACGCCGTCAACATCTTTGAATGGCGCACCATGGTCGCTGGCTCACGGCGACTGCCCCACAGCTCCCGACCCTGCTGCTGATGCTGCTGCTGATGCTGCTGCTGTCATCGCTGCTGACGGCGCGGCGGCGGCGGCGGCGGCCGCCCTGCCGTTTCCTTCCCCCCCGTCGCTGTCCCTCTCCCCGGCCGACAACGTCGAGTCGCCGCCGCCGAGCGCCCCCTGGCTGGTTGAGAGGGCGCTGTCCATCAAGGCTGCCGTCGAAGAGGCCGTCAACAGCGGTGGTGGTGGCGGTAGCGCGGCCAGCGGCGGAATAGGCGGGGCAGGGGGTAGGGGTGTGCTATTGCCGGCAGCCCAGGAGGGAACCGCCGGGAGCATCGAGCCGGGCGCGGGGGGACGAGGGGGAAGCGCCGAGGTGTTTCCGGATAGAGTCATCGCTAAGGTGCGTGCTCGGTGGCAAGTTGAAGTCGGATACGAACTCACTCAGCAAGTGTTCCGTGAGGTAGCGAACACGGTAGTGTCGCGCACCACAGACAGTATGGAGCGTGTGTAACACTACATATTATTCGTCTGCCTTTTGGCGTACTCGTCGACAAGGATATGGCTCGCTGCAACGGGACCCCCATCACCCCTAACCCTCTCTCCCCGCCCCCGCACGCCCGCCCACCCACCCGCCGCCAGGTNCCCGCCGCCAGGTCCCGCGCTTGGTCGCCGATCTCCACGATGCGTTAGGACGGGCCGTCAGCACCAACGAGGCCAAGGCCTGGGTGCGCGCGCTCGACCGCCTTGGAGAGGGTTTGGACAGGGACCAGCTGTTGGAGGCGTGTCTGGTAAGCCGTGAACTTGTGCATGTTCGTATGGCACGGCACTTGTGCAGTGTATTGCGCTAATGTAATCCGACAACGCTGCGTTAGATGGTACGCGCGGGTTTTCGATGTCTCGACGTATCGGCGCTCTTTGCATTGTCCTTTCTTTGTTTTGCGTTTGGTAGGCTTTGCTCCCCGCAAGTCCTGCGTGTTGTGCGGTGGGGACGTTTAACCCTTTGTCAGCCCCGGTCACCCCTCCACCGCCCCTGGCAGGAACACCGACTTATCCTGTGTAACGTGTCCTATGCCTTTTTCTGTCTGCCCGTCTCGTACAGGACGTTTCACGGGACGTGTTGCGGCTGGATGGCTCACCCAGCCCTTCCCACCCGGTTAGGGGGGAATCTCCAGCGGCTGCCGCAGCACCTCTGTCTGGCCTTGCGTCCGCGGCACTGGCAGAAGAATCAGAGTTAGGCAAAGGGGCGGTGGAGGCAGCAGGAGCGGCGATGACCGTCACGGCTAGCCTGCCACGGGGCGGCTCGTGTCCGGAGAGTGTCTCCCCCACGCCTGCTTCTTGTCCGGCAGTAGTGGAGACGCCCGCAGGGACGGCGGAAGCAGCAAGGACGCTGGACGCAAACGCGGCAGTGTTGCCAGCACCGGCGGCTAAGACACCGGTGATGTTGCCGCCCTCTTCACCACAGGCAGCATTTCCTGAAGGAGATGAGCCGGTAACCGTAGCGCCAGCACAAGCAGGAGCTCCAGTGGTAGCATCAGATGGGGAGGCGAGACGAACAGGCAACGAGGCCGCACCCGAGGAGAGAGCCGTCTCGGGGGCAGTGTTTTTCCTTGGAAACGATCCCCATGGCCCTCCTTCCACAACCGCCGTGGTGCCCTTTTCTTCAATTTCGACAGCACCAGCGGCGCCGCCACCACCGCCGCCGCCGGAAGCCTGTGAACTATCTGTGTCCCCGCAAAGAGCGGTGCCGTTTCTCGCGGCAACACCGAGCAAGGCGGTCCTGGCGGCAGCAGCAGCAAAAGCAGCGGCAGCAGCTAAAGCATCAGCATCAGAAACCGCAACAAAAGCAGCACCAGCACCAGCACCAGCACCAGCACCAGCACCAGCAGCACCAGCACCAACAGCAGCAGTTGGCGGAGAAAACATCTCGGGATGGGACAGCAACTCTGCACGAAAACCGTCGTGGCCGACCGGCAGCTGTCGCGGTGGCGTTTCGGCAGACGGGGAGGTTTCAGGGCCAGCAACAGCAACAGCGGAAGCAGCTGATGCCGCCGATTGCAAGGAGGGAGCGGGAGTGGAGGCGGAGGAGCGTTGTCCGGCAGCGGCGCGTATTGCCGCCGGGGAAGCGCCCGCGGTTGCACGAGGAGACGCGGGTGGTGCTCCTGAAATTGTTGCTCCTCCGGCTGACACGTGCGATGGTGCCGGTGTCGCTGCCACAGACGTTGCCGTCGACAGCGACGTTGCTCGAGATACCGGCCGAAACAACGGTAGCAGCGGCTGTGGGAGCGGCGGCGGCGGCGGTGGGAGTGAGACTGCTCCTGCCCGAGACGTTGTTGGCCGCGGGACAGCCGGGAGAGGGGGGAAACAGCGAGCGAGGAGAAACGCTTCCAAGTTTTCCGATGACGTCATTGCAAAGGTACGCGCTGCAAGCTGCAAGCTGCAAGCTTTCGCTTCGGCGGGTTCTACTGCCACCACCCCTTCTGTCGATACATCTGCAGCATGATGGCTTGTGACGTTGGCAGTATCGATCCTTCGCTTTGTTGAAACCGGACGGCATGAGATCACCGGGCGGGATCGGGCCACGCACGAAGAGGAAGAGGAGGGAAGCTTCCGATACCGTGTGGTTGATGGCTTATTGACATGCATTCGGGGGTCTTAAGAGACAATATCTGCTTTGTTGGTCACGTAGATGGATCGG